GGAAGGTCTGGCACAATATGGTTCATGGGGTCATGAAGAGTCGGACACGACTTAACGACTGAACAACAACAACAACATTGTTCTGTAATGAACAATCTCAATGCAAAAAAAGACAGTGATATTATTTAGCTAGATCAAATTAAATAAAATAATACAGGTGGTCTTTGGTTAATGCCAACTCATTCAGCGACCATTCAAACTTGTGACGGTGCTGAACAAGTGGTACTTACAACTGGTCCTCAAAGTTCTGGCTGTCGCAAGGCCTCCACAGTCACGTGATTGTGATCCAGGTGCTCAGCAACTGGCCTGGGTTTTCGACTTTCACAGCGTCCCACAACCATGTGATTGTGATTTCCAACCTTCCCTGCCAGCTTCCCACAAGCAAAGTCAATAGGGAAGCCAGCAGGAAGTTGGAAGTTATGATCATGTGAGGTCCTCGCTTAACAACCCACACAGTCCTTGCTTAACAACAGTAACTGGGGACTGTCCAAACTGCCATTGCTAAGTGGCACAGTCACGTGATGTCGTGCTTTACTACCACATGGCTTAGCAACAGAAATTCTGGTCCCAATTACCATCGTTAAGTGAGGACTACCTGAACATGCAACAAAATCATATATATTAGCTTCAAATTGAAATTTGCCTCCCTATATGATACTCCAAGGACAAATTTGGTCCTTAGCCCAAAAGGCAGCACACTTTTGAAAACAAGTAGATCTATATGGCATATAGAATAAATGTACATTACATTAATGTAAATATTTATTAGAATAAATGTACAGCAGGCAACAAAAACTTTGGAACACTGGAAAGTCTATTTCACACACATGCACAAACGCAAAAGTAAATACTAAAGCTGCAATACACACTCAGATTGCACCTAACAGGAAAGAGAGGTTTCCAGCAAAGCAAAACTCCATTCCAAACTGAGTTCAATCTTCTCTAGCCTGGTGCCTTCCAGATATATTGGAGTAGAGTGCTTATGCTGGCTAGGAATAATGGAAATTATAGATCCATGCAACACAACTGGAGGGCAAAGGGTTGGGGAACAACATACTGTACCAAGGCAAAAAGGTGAATAATATTCATTCAAAGTTACACTGACACCTATTGAGCAAGACAAGCTGAAACCATCCTCACAGGAAGTAGAAAAAATATATTCTATTCTCCCTTTTCTTCCTGTATAGTTGGGGACAAATGTGACTGGGAGAAAGAAAGAAAGAAAGAAAGAAAGAAAGAAAGAAAGAAAGAAAGAAAGAAAGAAAGAAAGAAAGAAAGAAAGAAAGAAAGAAAGAAAGAAAGAAAGAAAGGTAGGTCGGTCGGTCGGTCCAATTTTTCACTTGGAAATAGAAAAATGGTATTTTCTACATTGTTCTTATGGTATATTCTAGTTTTAAAAAATAAAACTCAATTTCTTCCACCCAGTTTGTATAAACTAAATAGGAACACATCACCTTTATATGTTAAAAAAGGAAAGACAAAGTTAGTTGTAGGGAGCAAAAAATAAACAAATGGATATTTTGCTATAATACTAGCAGGTAAGTGCTATGTGAGGGAGAAGTAAAAGAACTTTAGAAAGGATCAAATAACACTCCTGTTTCTGCTTCAACTAGTTCTGCCCCCCAAATTGCTTGTTTTGAATCTCAGATATCTATTAACCTAAAGCCTCTCTCAATGTTTCTGGCAAACGGGTGGATGTTCTATAGTTTTGGGAATGCAAAAGAAACAATTTTTAAATTTTTAAAAATGGAACCAATTCCATTTTTAAAGCTTTTCTGGAGTAAGCATCATTTTCAAAATGAGCTGTCATTAATTTTACTATGAATCTGCTGGAAGTAAACAACCCAAATCTATTACCAATAGGATCCACGTCAAAATTATTTTACATTCTTACATTTTTCATCATAGGTGTAAGGCATGGTCCAGAGATACCAAAATGTTCTCATTTATAAATGCAATTACTGTATGATTTTATCCATGAGATCTCCTAAAGACTAGACATACTATTGAAGTTATTAGCTCTGGTACTAAAATCTTCATTAGAAATTTCTCTCTTGCTTATTTATTTTGTTACAGCAAATGCAAATAAAGTTTTTGGTAGACAGTTGCATCCCATTCTTGTATTCCTTTCTGTTTAATATTCTTCACTGTAGTGACTGTTCTGATTTGAAAACTCATAATCTTGCTGATTCATCTGGCTAAGAAACATGGTGACTTACGAATATGAAAAAACAAGTATTTGTCCCTACACTATATAAATGTGTCTAGCTTGCACATACAGGAAATATGAGCAAAGAGCAGCAGGAGAGATAAATGGAAGGATTCCAGTTGGGATTATGTTGCCCATGACTTTGTAAGTAGAGGCCTGAAACTATGGGTTCTATGTTGGTTTTATACTTTGAGGCAGGAGAGGCAATATGAGAATTCTCAAAAAGCCATGAAGAAGTAAAAGTGAGACCGGAGATATGAAGGAAGTGGCCTGCGATGCAGCAAGAGTAAACCATTTGACTCTACATGGGAGCAGGAGGTTAATGTGCTGTATATTTGTGGGATGATTGGTTTGGACGTTCAGTGCTATGCAAGCCAAGGTAGGTCACCTGACAGCTATTTATTTATTTGTTATAAATGATGGGATATTGCCCCAATTTCACAATTTGGAAAGATTTACAGTAGAAATAAAAGCAAAATGCAAATTTTCAAGCAGCAAACCATTAGTGCCTCTGAACTGCTTTGCTTAAAAATAAGCCAACCTTAATTTATTTTTGTTTGTTAATAAAGAGCAATGTTTGCTGGTAAAGAGTTAATTTAGAAAGTACTGAGTTACCTAAAATGCTGCATGGTTTCATGAGCAAGCATTGCAATAGAACTTCCCATCTATGGATCCCCATATGCTCCAAAGAATCTCTAAAACTTCAGAGAAGACCTGAAGGTTAAACTGTTGAGCTCAGGAAGCAAAGGGGATCTGTTTTACTTCTCATTCTTGGTAAATTTACTAGAGTACCTGGTAGCTCAGTCTGGCAAGATAAATCAGAATGTAAAAGCACCATCCTATGCCGCCTTGATTTCAGACTATCTCGGTCTACTTTTTTGAACTACAGCAGCCCTTGTTTTCCTGGGTGTTTTTATTTGCAAACCAATTCAGCTTATTTCTGTACTGTGGAGCCTAGATTAAACAAAAAATGCCAAATTCCTTAGTGGATTGCCTGAATTGAGATTACATTTTTGGAATCTAACTGTTCCTTTTGCAGAATTCTTTCTTTCTTCTTTTAGTCTGGTAGTTGCTAAAGAAAATTTCATACTTCTTCCACAACCTCTTTAATTCTTTTTAATACTGTTTTTAATATTGTACTGTTTTTAATACTGTTTAATATTGTTTTCTTTTAGTATTTGCAACAATGTCATTTTCTATGTCCTTATCTTTCCCAAGATCATACAGGTGTACTTGATGTCTGCTTGGGGCAGTACAATTCAAGGCACAATCACGGTATCAGAAACAGCAATGTTTCTGTCATTCCAGTTCTTCTTACAAATTATAGAGGATTCTGAAGTTTTTTTATGCATCATATAGGGATGTTTCCACCCCACCTTACTTAAATCCACAAAAACCCTCAGATTATTCGTTCTCTTAGCGTTTATGCCTTCTTTATTTTTGCACTTTATTCCAAAATTTGAACTTCACTCAAAGATCCAACTTTTTTGAAATCTGGTTTTAGATATTTACAATGGAACCATCTAATCAATGAGACATAAGCTAGCATTATAGTATGCTATTATAACTTCAAATGGTATTCTGCAAATATAACAATTAAAAACTGGGGGAAAAAAACATGCTACAATTCACAATTTGTCAGACTTGAAGACTTCTTCGGCTACCTTTCTTCATTTCACTTGAAAATCATATAATGGACCAGCTACTATTTATCTGTGTTGATAACTATTCATTATAAGCTTACGAAATTCTCAGTTGGTTTGGCCCAACAAAGTGGCATTCAAAAACCCTGAACTCTCATTAGTAGCTTTATCACTTCATTTGACAAGTTCCTTTTATATTTCAGTTCCAAGATGTCCACAGATGCCTCTTAAATGGTTATACCTGTCTTTCTTGCATTGGCATATCCAAAATGCCCATGAATCTCTATCCACCTTATCTATGCTATGATTGGCTGCCTAACAGAGTGCCCTTTTATAAACCAGAAACTTCTGTTTGTAAATACTAAGATTTTTTTTTTAAAGGAATGGCTTTCATCATATCTTACTTGAGTTCCTGTGAGCTTGTGGCCAGCATACTTCGAATACTTTTATCAGCCAGTGGGCAGCCAGACAGACTGTAAAACAGGTCAGGACAGTCAAGTAAGTTGATATTCTTTTAAGCCAAGATTTTCCAAACAAACACAACGTTTAAAAATTAAATTAAAAAATTATAATGCAGAAAAGCGATGGGGCGGGCAAGTGCTGCAATATTACATTTTGTAATATAAGTTAACCCTCTGAATATGTTTAACTATAAAATGTATAGATTTTTTAAAAAACAAGCTTATAGGTATAAAAAAAAATTAGTGATCCATGGGTTAACTATTCTAAAAAGGTAAGAATTTCAAAATTTTAGTTGTTTTAAAAGAAAAAAGACGTTTATACAACACACAAATTAGCATGCTTTTAAGATCAACATTTATTACTCAAAGGGTTAACACATAGTTCAACATTTTTACTTTGACAGCATTGTTGAGGTAAGCTGAAAACAATAAATTGAAAAGACAGAATCCACCATGAAAAAAATGAAGTCACACCTTCTATGTGAGGCGTAATTACCAGTCACATGACCACTCCCATCACACCCTGGTGTTGGACATCTGCCACCAAACAAAAACAAAAAACAGCCAAAATAGTAAGTATGTTTAAAAAAAACTTTTAAAAGTTTCATTGTTTCCAGTTTAGCTGCAATGTCTGCAAGGGGGATTTAAGCATCCTATCAGAAAAGCTGCAAAATGAACAAAATTCAATGAAAATGGCATCTCAGTACAATATAGCATCATTAGGGACAAGCAGCTTCATCACTTAAACTTAACTGACAGTCTGAAACATTTATATGCTGCAAATGCTGCATGCTCATACTGCAAGGCATATATGTACTTGTTTATTCAGATAAGACAACAAGAGAAAGATAAGGTTAAAAAGGAGTAAAAAATAATTTCACCTCACATTATGCTTACGTTATTAAATCCTTTTTATTCTCTTTGCATTGAGGATATTTGGGTTTAGGACTTGGGATGGTGACTTCCCCAGGATACCTTCTTTCTTCTAATGCCTCTTGGAAAGGATCTAAGTCTTCTGGCTGTAATGAAGGGTAAGACAGAAACTACATTTAATAGAAGGCCGTAGTGCCTACCACTAAAAATTTCCAATCAAGTCAAGACCTTTCTCTCCAGAAAGGTCCACAAATAACCATTTTGAAATGTTTACAGTGCAGATAGCATTCTTGTATTGCAGTGAAAGGAATGGTTTGCATGAACTAACATTCTGCATATCTCTCATGGTTACTTCGTACAGCACATTATTTCATTAAGGCGAATGCTGTTTCAAATTCATGCCACTTGGTAAGAGCACCATGTGGTTACCATAACTTTTATAAGATGGTGCACCACATGGAATAATGGTATTACATTGGAAGCTTCTGCGTTCACAGTACCCACAAAGGAAAAGTTCCATTAAGGGCACTTAATGTATAGTATAAAGTGCCAATCCTTGTGGTAAACTACCAACAGATATTATGAGAGCCACATGGAAACTTTGCCATGAGGAAGCAATCTTATGCTGGAACAAAAGCTGACACCTTATCTTCAATGTTAATTGTATAACTGAAAATACATTTGTCTAAATGGTTTATCAGAAATCTGTTTGAGATATGGGTGTATGGTTCATATACAAGACTCCATGAAAAGATAGCAGAAAATGATTTACACAGAATTTGGATAAAATAAATTACATTGTATATAGGCATGGATAACATGTAACCCTCCAAATACTACTAACTACAATACCTATTAACAAATATGTTCTCAAGGTACTGAATGTGGAAACATTCAGTTCAATTTGCTGATATGCATTGACACAGATATTCCTGTAGTTGGTAGTGTAACCAAGGGTAAGACAGTTGCGGGCAAGTATACATCGGGACCACAAAACGCAGCATCCATACCAGGATAAAAGAACACGAAAGGCACTGCAGACTA